AAATTCACAGCTTCTTTACATTGAATTAAAGTCAAATCCTCTTCTTATCAGAATGGCTCGAAATTAAGACATTTATTTACCGTTTTCTGAAATTGGACCAAGGTAGATTCTTGTATAATCCTTCAGAATGGGGAAAAATGCTAGGAAAATACATTAACAACTTTCGACTCGAATTGAGATTAAAGAAATAATCTTACTTATTATAAAACGCAGATTGTGTGTGTGTGTGTGTGTGTGTGTGTGTGTGTGTGTGTGTGTGTGTGTGTGTGTGTGTGTGTGTAACGTTTATATATTGGATCGGATTTTCTACATTTTTCAACCGATTTCAACAAAACTTCAAAGGACTACATAAAATTACCTTGCGGTGGTTCTAATAGCGCCAAAAATGGGAAAAATACAATTGTTTTTACACAAAATCAATTTGAAAACTAGATTAAGAGACATCGTGTGAATGAAAGGGGGACAACTCACATCGGGTTAAAAACTCAGGTTGTTTGTGAGTGTGTATTCCTTTATATATGGGATCGGATTTCTTACATTTTTCAGCCGATAAAACAAAAATTCACTTTTTTGGGTGGGGCAGGTAGTGTTTCTTATTCTCTTGCACACTTTTTTCTTTATTTTTAATATTCAGAATGCTTTAAAAATTCCATTTACAAGACAATTGTTTATAATAAAATTCTATTCAATCGGGAGACTCATAACGATTGAAAACAATGTTTTTGTTTGAGTTTGGGTTTGACCAATTCGTAAAAAAAAAAAAAAAAAAACTAATTAAGACATGCGTGTCCGTCAACCTTAAACAATAATCTAACTATCTCTACTGATTGTACGAATCCAAACATCGGATAATTCTTTATCTCTAGGGAAAGATAATGAAATCTAAACATACACAAGTCCTTCTAACTAAAAATAATAACCGGAAACTTCTTTAAATACACATGGTGTCCAAATTTTTTTACTGTATTCAATAAGTAAAAATCATAAATTGTAAAAGATTATTATTACAGAAAGGCTACTAAATGAATAAGATTTGTTAGATCATAATTAATAAACCCAAATAAAGTTAATATTTTTTGTATTAGAAACAACGAGTGGAAAATATATTTAATTCAGAATTCTAATTATGAATCACCACAAGCAAAAATATGCAATTTTTTTACTGTATTCAATAAGTAAAAATCATAAATTGTAAAACTAAAAAGATTACAGAAAGGCTACCTACATTTTCAACCGATTTCAACAAAACTTCACTTTTTTTGGCATGTAGTGTTTCTTATTGTCTTGCACACTTTTTTCTTTATTTTTACATTCAGAATGCTTTAAAAATTCCATATACAAGACAAATGTTTATAATAAAATTCTATTCAATAGGTAGAGACTGAAAACAATGCTTTTGTTTGAGTTTGGGTTTGACCAATTCGTCAAAAAAAACAAAAACAAAAAAAACTAATTAAGACATGCGTGTCCGTCAACCTTAAACAATAATCTTTGTGAATTTTATTTTTCATTCTTTATGATGGTCGATACTTGATCTATCTCTTACTGTTATATCCCCGGGCAACGCCGGGCTTTACTGCTAGTACTAAATATTAACGGATTTTTTGAAAGTCAATATTTTTATTTCCTTCTTTAGTCATGGAAAACGCCAGCTTAGAAGGAAAAAGTACTAAGATTTATTATTTAAGCATACACACAAATACACATACACACACTTCATTCTTTCTTTTTCGTATATGAAGAAGCTCTAAATGCCCATATGCATTACTGCACATATTTCGAAACAAATCTATTTTTATGAACGTTTCCAATTGTCAGACTGTAACAACATTGTTGGGATTATATATACTACATTTAAAACATCTCTATTGCATGTTGAGCTCTACCTGAATTTTATCCTCTTGGAAATATATATATATATATATATATATATACTGACCACTAATATTACCTTATATATATATATATATATATATATATATATATATATATATATATATATGACATAAAGTTTTACATATCAGAATTCTAGGTAAGTAAATGACAAAGTGGAAAATATTGTGTAAAAGTTTTTGTATTTCATCAATAGAAACATTTTCGGACAAAACGTATTCCACTTTGTGGATCATTTGTCAAATATATATATATATATATATATATATATATATATATATATATATATATATATATATATATATATATGACCTTATGTTCCCCACCCTTTAAATTTTGGAAAAGAGGTAACACTTTGTTTTTAAATTTCCTTAAAAATCATTTAGTCATCAGTTACTTAACATCGACTGAAGAAGTACCTTCATAATATTGAAACATGAAAGCTTTTATATAGCGATTTCAACATGTTTTTATTATAATCTCTGATAATAATAGAAATAATGATAATAATATATATATTCGAAAGTACTTGCTTAACTTAAAAAAATATACACTAGAAACATCTGACAACAGTTTTATAAATGAGGATCGCATCATTCAATGGATTAACAGTATTTTAATGCATACATTATGTTTCTACTAGCGAAGTGATTTCGCCATTAATAGCATTAATATTGCTGATTGATTCTATGTAGGATTAGTTCTTTATATATGAAATATATGCTGCCTAATATTATGTTTATAAAAAACAATTGATCCGCAGAACAAAATTCCAGAGAAAAAAACTACATATCACTATATTAATTGAACTATATACTTAGTTCATGTCATGTTAACTGAAAAACACTTGCAAAAAAAGAATTCGTAGATTTACCATATTACAAAATTCAAATAAAAATTCTCACTTGAAATTTTGAACTTTAGCGTTGCGACTCGCAAGTTCCGAGATTGTAGAACCGTCAATAAATAGCACATTCTTAAAAAAACATCTTTCGATCTACAAGCAATTATTTCGTCTTCAAGTTTTAACTTTAAAGGAAAAAAATTACAGCCTGATGATGAAGACATGGATCTTCGAAAGTACTTGCTTAACTTAAAAAATATACACTAGAAACATCTGACAACAGTTTTATAAATGAGGATCACATCATTCAATGAATTAACAGTATTTTAATGCATACATTATGTTCTACTAGCGAAGTGATTTCGTCATTAATCGCATTGATATTGCTGATTGATTCTATGTATGATTATTTCTTTATATATATATATAAATATATATATATATATAATTTATACGAAAATTATAGCATAAATATACTATAAAATCACTACAAAAATAGCCATTTTGTTTCAACACTTCTTGTGTCTTATCAAGTAATGGTGTTGAATGTAGAATCTACATGTATATTCTACATTCAAAGATGTTTTTATATATAATATATATATATAATTATTTTTTATAAAAAAAATTATAACATAAGTATGTTATAAAATCACTACAAAAATAGCCATTTTGTTTCAACACACTCTGTGTCTTATCAAGTGATGATGTTGAAAATAAAATAAATGGTTTTATATCTGCTCTACTTTGTATTGAGCACTTTTTAAGAATAGTAATTGTTAGTTATTGGAATTCATTCCGTATATACCAATTATATACTTGGGTATATATATATATATATATATATATACAAAAACATCTTTTATATTAATACGAAATAATATCGGATAAAAAATCCACTCAAAGTATTACCGTTGCTTACGTTCGGTGAACGAAAGTGAAGCTAGCAGAAATAGATTTGTAGAAAGCGTAATGAGAAATGTGCTTTCATTAAATAGGTAAATCAAACTCTGCTCTCTCAACGCAGCCTCCGTCTGAATTATTAAAGACATTTATTTCACTATGTTCGATCGATATAATCTCCGCAGAAGCGTTTTATTAAGCGCATTGAAAAGGAAAGAGACTATATTGAAAAAGGAATAGGCTTTTTTTACCCTCACTCTTCTTGATGTACCTACGTATACTGGCTTTCTAAATTTTCGCTGCCGGTCAGTGTTCGATTCCAGTAAATGATTAATATTTCGGATGTTGATTTTTTAGAGTAGAAAAATACAATATATTCTTTCTCCTCTCACCCTCTGCCGGATTGAGTTAAGTTTACCAAGTATCTATGATACTATATTATATTATGGAATTTGATTTTTAATTTTCAAAAATTAAGACGATAAAAAGAAGTAATTAAAGCTGGCCAAACGTCAATAAACTGAAAATTTACTTTTTCTTGGTTTCATTTATTTTTTCCTTCTATATTTTCTTCTTCTTTTGAAATCTAGCCGATGCCCTCTTCTTCCTTTTCTTTTTATAAGCGCATCACTCTTTTATTGCCTTAATTGTTTTTTCTTCGTTTCTTTTACCTTAAATTCATTTCACAACCTTGCACCCACGGCCCACACCATTAACATCTACCCCGGTCTCTTTTTCGCGAATCTATCCCATCCCTACACTCATCCAAGTCGTCGGTCAGTCCATCTGGATAGTCCTTGTGTCTCAAAGCTAAAACAGCGACAAGAAAGACAACAGCAGCAGCATTCACAACAAAAGCACCAACGACAACATCAACAATAAACATTACTTCCTAATTTTGCTTTTACTTTCACTTTCGGTTTCCCGCGAATCGTTTCCATGAAAACTCGCTCCCACTTCTTTTCCTTCCATCTGTTCATCGACGATTTCCTAAAAAGGAACACTCGATTTTTTTTTTTTTTTTACGCCGGACCTTCACCCTAACCTCCCATATTCTTTCTTCTTTCATTTACTAATTCCTTCTTCATTTCTTCGGGATTTTTCTTTTCTTTTCTTTCTCTCCCTCGGCGGCGATTTCCACGCCCAAATCATTAGTCCAACTATTGACGGCGTGAGGCTAATAAAAGAGGGAAAATGTGAAACTGCGAGCCTTTTAATTGAGTCCACTTTTTACCCGCCACTTGTGACTTTGTCTTTCCTCCCCTACAGTCCCTCAAGCAAATTTGACCATCCCCACCCACAAAACCTTTTTACTCTCCCCACTTTAATCACATTCGGCTCGCTTCTCTTTACCATCTGAACGTCTACTTCCCTTCTTTCGCAACAATTCACTGTTTGACAAATGTAAAGCTCTTCTGAAAACCGCTCGCTGAATGAGCTTCATCATCATCATCATCATCATCATCACATCTCGTGATGGTTAATGAACTTAGTTTAGTACAGAAAACGTCAAAGGGCAGGAGGAATGTGTAGCGTTCTTCCTCGCCTTGAAAATCAGACGAATAAAACTTTGTCAGTTTACTTGAGTTTCAAGAAAGACTGTGCAGCGCCGAATTTCTAGCGGAGAATGCCTGCCTTGAAAATCAGTAGAAAAAAATCTGATGTTTTAAGCGAGTTTCGAGAAAGATTGTGCTGCGTCGAATTTCCAGCGGAGAATGCCTGCTTTCAAAATCAGCAGAAAAAATCTGATGTTTTAACCGAGTTTCAAGAAAGACTGTGCAGCGTCGAATTTCTAGCGGAGAATACCTGCCTTGAAAATCAGCAGAAAAAATCTGATATTTTAACCGAGATTCATGAAAGATTGTGCTGCGTCGAATTTCCAGCGAAGAATGCCTGCTTTGAAAATCAGCAGAAAAAGTCTGATGTTTTAACCGAGTTTCAAGAAAGATTATATCGCGCCAACCATTCAAGTGGAAAGAGCCTACTCGCTTTAACGACATTTCTAAATATTGGTTTTAACTTGGTTCAAACCCTGACCTCTATAGGTAAATACAAAACTATAGAATCCATTAAACAGGTTATCATTCTTCTTTTATGTGCTGTCTCCCGATAATTACTCTTCACAACTTCCTGCTCCTTGTTGCTGTAAGCGACATTTCTCCCTTTACTGCCCACTATTGCTCGCTCTGTCATCTTTTTACACAAACTCGGTAGGTCAGTCACTTGCAATTTGTCTTTGTCCTTCTTGCCTTCAAAACCTCTTGTGGGTATAAAATTCTCCAAGCCTTCTTTCCTTATGAAATTTCAGTCGTCTCTTTGTAGTTGTACGCATGCGTGACCTTTTCGTTCCCATTTTCCTTAAAACTTCCTCGTTGCTCATATGTTCCTTCCGTGGTTTTTCTTCACAGTCTTCTACTGTACAACTATATCTTTCTGTTGCCTCAAGTCTCATCTTCCTTTGTGAGGTGAATGTTCAATATTCCCTACCATCATATCGCACGCACTGGCGCTACACTATCATCAACAAAGAGATTTATCAAATAATGACCAACAATTCATTTTAAAGCAAAATGACCAGCGATACATTTTATCTGCAGTTGAAGGTATATCTTCAGTTGAAGCAAATACATTTAGTTGCAGCCAGAAAATTATGTTCAAATTATTTAGAATTCAGCATTAAATAACCCATAGGGGTTGATATACTGCTAAACAAAATCAAACAACAGACATGAAAGAAATCGTTCAGGATATTAATCCATATAATATCTACAATTTCTGAAAGAAATCAAACTGTATTCCAAAATATAACTTCAACAAAATTATAATATAAAATACGCATATCACCGCTTCTAGTAATTATGTTCATACAAACATGTCTATGCACAAAAGCTGAGAATTCTCTACCATTTATTCAGTTGTAAAAGCAGAGTAACATATTTTTATTACTTGCAAGCTTCCTAGAAAATTAAATTTTTGCTTGAAATGACCCATAAGGTGTTGATATGCTATTAAACAAACAAATCAACATTTCATTCAACAGGTTTTGAGGAACCTGGAACCACCTCGTAATTGTTGTTGTTTCCAGGTCCACCCTGAATCGTGGTGGTAGAACCTGTTAGGGTTCCAGCTATGGGCAAATAGTGAACTCCAAACACTATGAAAGTATGAAAATACATTTTTTACAGTAAAAATACCAACAATATATTTTTATATAAAACAGTTACCAACATGTCAACCCATTTGGTGTTATTTGATATCAAATTTTAAAATAGAGCAACCAATAAGGATCGAAATCAGTAGTAATGGTCAACCAGACTAAACTTGTTAACCATTACCCTATTTAATTAGCTTAGGTTGATGTTAACAAATGTCAATCTGTGTTGGGTAATTTAATGTTGAATTTTGTAATGTTATACTCAGTGAGGATCAAACTCACTATTCTGTAGTAATGTTCATCCAGACTAATAACCTATTTAGCTAGATTAGGTTAGGTTGAATTTACAACTAGTTGAGTTAATGTCCAATTTTGTAATGGGGCACTTAGTGAGGATCAAACTCACTATTCTGTAGTAATGTTCATCCAGACTATCTAATAATTAACCTATTTGGTTACATTAGGTTAGGTTGAATTTACAACTAGTTGAGTTATTTAATGTCCAATTTTATAATGGGGCACTTACTACTCTGTAGTAATTGTTATTCAGACTAACCTCTGTAACTATTACCCTGTTTAGTTACATTAGGTTAAGTTAGGTCAAATTTACGTCTTGTTGGCTAATTTAATGTTGAATTTTGTAATGTGTCACTTAACGAGAATTGAACTCACTACGCTGTATTAATGGTAATCCAGATTAGCCTCAGTACCTATTACCCTATTTGGTTAGGTTAGATTGAGTTTACGACTTGTTGGATTATTCATTGTCAAATTTTGTAATGAGGCCATGAGTGAAGATTTGAACTCACTAATTAGTAATGATGGTCAACTAGACTAAACTTACTAACCATTACTCTATCTAGTTAAGTTAGGTTGATCTTATGTCAATCCTTGTTGGGTTACTTAATCCCAATGTTGTATGGGACATCCTGTATGGGGTGACCTTACTTCTCAGAAGTAATGATCAACCAGACTAGCCTCTCTGTTACCCCATGCCAAAGCATTTACAGACTGTTGTGGATTCTGGGATGAAATCCAGTCTCAAATGAATGACAAACGCAGGAATGACATATAGCAAATAAATGTATTGACGTAATAATACAATTGGTAATACGGTTAGTAGATCCAGAAAATGCGGTTAGTAGCAATAATAATATATATACAGTCTGGGAAATTCAGTATCGAAGTATGACTTCCTTCTGAGTCTACGTGCTCGCAACTGTGACTCCTACAAAGCGGTTACCTCACACTCTCACTCTCTCATTTTCTCACTTCCGGGTATTCACCGGCAACAGTACAAGTACACACTGGTCGAGTCCACTTGTATAAAAAGGGGTGGACCCCTTAACACAGAAATTTGAAGAATGTTACAGGGAACAATATTCATAATGTGATCAAAACAATAAGATGAGGAAACTGGTCAGAAGGCTAAAAATACCTCGTATCAGAAATTTAGACAAAGATATTCTTGAGCAAATTTTAAATTTGTTTTCAAATACAAAATGATTTCTTACATTTCCTTTCAAATACATCTGGCAGTAAGGCCTCTGATTGGGAGATTGGAGGTTTTGAGGAACCTGAAACCACCTCTTAATTGTTGCTGTTCCCAGCTCCACCATGACCCAGGATGGTAACACATGTTATGGGCAAATAGTGAACCCCAAACGCTATGAAAGTATAAAAATACCAGCAATACATTTTCATATAAAACAATTACCAATAATATATATTTATAGTAGAATTACCAACGATACATTTTAAAGCAGGATTATCAACAATAAATGTTATAGCAAAATGATCATTTTCAAGTCATAAGACTATATTCAAATTATTTAAATTTAGGCATTAAATGACCCATAGAGGTGTTGATATGCCGTTAAAAAAATCAACCAACATGAAATAACAATTTCAGGACATTAATCTATATAATATCCTACAATTTCTTAACGAAATCAAACTGTATTCCAAAATATAACTTCAACAAATCTACAACATAAAACATACATATCACTGCCTGTAGTAATTATGTCTACACAATCATGCCTATGCGCAAAAGCTGTGTATCATCTACCATGTATTTAATTGTGAAAGCAGAATAACCTCAGTCTATATCTCTGATATGAGGTATTATGATTATTTACATTATTCGGACTGTTATCCTCATCTTCATTGCCATATTCACAACGTTTCGGCCGTTGTAATTTCCGACCTTCTTCGGGTGATTGGAAGGACACATGGCCCAGTGGACAAAGACGTTGGTTACATCCAGTGACTAAACCAAAAAGTTGTGAGTCCAATACCAGGCTACAGCAGTGTTGAACCAAATCCTTTGAGAGTTAAGTCAAAGGGAAATAGCAGAGGCATCCGAAAGAGGTATGGCACGTAGAACTAGAACAATCTAACCCGGTGGACAAAATAAAGGATTCGGTTCGAAATTCCATTCACCTGAAGAAGGTCGGAACGTACAACGGCCGAAACGTTCTGAATATGGCAATCAAGATGAGGATAAAAGTCTGAATAAAGTGTAAATAATGAAGAGTAACTTATTTTTATTACTCCCAAGAAAATGAAATTTCGGCCATAAAGGACCCATAAGGAGTTGATATGCCATTAAACAAAATCAATCAACCAGTGTACACATCATTATACCCGATGTACCAGGCACATGCATTGCAGTCAAATGTGCACGATATGGTAGCAGTGGATAATCTTACAGGCGATTAAATCTGTTTCCAAATGTCGAGATTCGTCTCCCAAGTGGTCTTGGATGCTTCATCCTTTAAACTAAAAAAAAAAAAATTCTTGACACACGGCCATGATGTACCCGTACTTCTCCCGCTCATGAACAGATACGTACAGTACATCAGTTCATAGAGGTCACCTCTAACTGGTTATGGTCAGGCCACTGATAAGTAAATCTATGGCGCTGTACGAGATATTTACTGTATCCAATCTTAATTCACTAAAAAAAAATATGAACCTAATAACACCTCAAATCAATTAAGATCCGAAATTCTGGGAATCGTGTTTGGTGTGGCATCAGGACATTTATTATTATTATTATCATTATTTATTTATTTATTTCTCGCGGTTTTTCGTTTTCAACCGGAGATTTTAGATTGTGGGTGTTCTCCGTCAAGTCGCACGGCCTGAATATTTGTAGAGACAAGCAACGCAGACTTCTGAAGCGACGATGGGATACTTGG